ACAACGTGGCTTCGTGTTAGTGTCCTCAGACAGCATGATTTTAACGTTTGCTACTACACAGCCGTAAACCTGTTACCCAGCTGCTCTTTTTAAGGGTTACGAAAAGCTAAAAGTTAACATTGGCGTAAACAGGCCCTCTGGGAGACCAAAGCGGCACATGAAACATGAAATGCAGCCCTAGAGGCAAAGAGTAGCTAGCAACAACATGCACGTTTTTTTAGATGTCTGCCTACACGATGAATCACCCAAAAGAAATGCGGAGCTGTCTGTTAGCTAGCTGTGTGATGCTGGGCAACGCTAGCTAACACGACCGAGCTATGCTAATTCATTGTGGCTAACTCTTGTTAGGCCTCGCAGGTAAACAAGTGATAGCAGCAGGCAGTCAGACCGAGTGAAATTAACAACAAATCGAGAGCTGGAATCAAGAAAATTAGCGTCTGGTACTTACCCTTGCAGGCCAATGTGGGTATCCCTTCATTTTAGCAAATACAAGATCTCCAGGTTTGTATTCCTTTTGCCTGTTGGACCGCGGCATGTTTCTTGCAAAAATAGCTTGCTATGTCAAATATATGCAATACTGAAATACAGTGGCAGTTTAACAAGATACAGTGTCCGGATTAGTCAGCACCTGCAACAAATAACAAAGTGTCGGATTGTCATCCCAATGAACAAGGCGCGGAAAACTGGAGCGAAGACGCGGCGACTTTTTTTTTTTTTTTTTTTTCGCGGACTCTGTGGACTGTAACCACGACCGGTAAGAACGACAGTGTTCTGATATGTATCTGAATAACGTTGCAAATTACAACAAACTGCGGTAAACGCTGGCTTTAATGTTATCCCGCAATCCTCTGACTCGGCCCTGGAGCTGTTTGGGTTTGAAATTGAAACCCGCTTCCTTTTTTTCAGACGCGCCCCCAGTACCTGGTGAAGTTGCAGAGTTAGCGCCCCCCGTGGCCAAAACATTACACTGACAGTAAATGATGCCTGTAAAAAATAATAGGGCAGCCATCAGCTGTTAACTTGATAATGTGACGATTTTTTAAATAGGAAAATTGTGTTTAAAAGTTACCTTAATGCACCTACACATCACGTGATAGGATACACCTGTTATTATCTGTTGGACCATTATTAAACCCACCTTAAGGTTAATCTGTTAGAGGTGAAGATAATGAGCAATATTCAAGTGAACCATCCTCAAAATATTCTTTTCTCCTTTCTTTTCCTCACATATGATTAAACAATCCAATTATTTATTATCTGCAATTCACAGCTCCAAATTAATTGTAGAAAGAGCTACAGAAAAAACTCAGCACAATTGTTGTTTGACAGTCTTCAAATCACTCCCACATAGACACAGATAATTCCATTGTCATTTTAAGTTGTCATTTAGTTTCAAAACCATGTGCCTCAGCGTGCATAGCCCCCTATGTTTTGGGGAGTGTCTTCACAAGACTGTGGGATCTGGCTGCAGGGACTGGTCAGTCTCTGAGTTTGGGTGATAAGGCCTGACTCACAACTTGTGGTCCAGTTCATCCCAAATGTGTTTTACAGATTGTGATCAGTTCTCTGTGTAGACCAATCAAACTATTCTAAGCAAACATAAACCCCTTTCCTCATCGACATTAATTTGCTTACATGGGCATTGTCATGCTGGAAAACGAAAAGGCCTGTTCTCACAAAGTTGTGTGCACACCTTGTTTAAAATATTTTTCAATACTGTAGCAAGAACATTTTAATGGATGTCATGTACCACTAGGGGTCACTATAGGGCAAAACTGAATTTTAGGCCCATATCCAGCCCCAGTGTTCCCTACCTTTGTATGGATTTTAATGCAGGACTATGTTACATGACAAGGTACAAGATTAGAGGTCAAACTGCAAGATTTCAGTTGTAATCGAGGCTCGAAGTCATACTAAGTAAATAGACATTTATACCATCAATGTCTAATACATCAATGGTTTATACATTTAATGCGTCAGAGTCGTTAACGCATGGAAACAAAAATTAAACAGAAGAAGAAGAAAAGACTGCGCAGAAACCTGCGCAGTAGTCGTTTCTTCAATCGAATGATGGCGGCGAGTGTTTTGATGGAGTCTGGGGACTACTTAGCTTAATTTGTTGGAGTAACACCATCCTAGAACCCCCATTGTGAGGGGTAAAAATATAGCGTCTGTATCAATCGACAATGTTTGATGTGCAGTAATCATTCTGAGAGGAATCCAACTTCCTTAAATCAAAGGATCAAAGCTAGCCGTTACCGTTTGCTGCGGTGGCCTAGCTAATATTAACTAGTGTTGTGAAGTTGGGACAGTGTTTTCGTTTAAAGGGCTCATTACAGGGCCCTCTTCTAACATTGGTGTTTTCGTGATACTACGGCTGGATCTGGACTTATCTTGTTCATAGTGTGATTATACTGATTAAAGATTATCTTACCTTTAACTGACGTCAGCTCGTGTAAAAGCCAGTGTGACTACGGCTTCTTAAGACAAAATCGAGGACAAGTGGTTATCCATGTCCACGGGTTACTGTAGACTAATAGTCTTTAATAACATCAGCAAACATGTCTTTAGTCGCCTATGGCAGCAGTGATGAGAGTGACTCAGAAGAAAGCTCGAGCCCTGTCGCTCCGGATAGCAAATCAAGATCAGGGCTTTTCTCGCTGTTGCCTGCGCCTGAAAAGACAGAATCAGCAGCTGGAAACGATGAAACAAGTAAGGAGACAAAGGTGAAACCATCAGCAGAGGACAGTACGTCAAACGATGACCCAGATCCTCGGCCATCTAGAGGAGACTTGTTTTCTAGTCTACCTAAGCCGAGGAAGCGAACGGAGCCTGTCAAGATCACAGTACCGCAGATCCAGAGACAGGATGTGAGTACTCGGTTGGATCAGGCGTTTCCTCCTACACACTGTAGCTCCCAGTTGTATGCAGTCAGCTTGTAATTTATAATCGATTTCTTGTCCATAGTCAGACTCCGATGATGACGAACCAGCAAAGAAGAAACTACAAGCTCAGGCAAGAACATCTCTTACTGTATGCCGTTACTTCCGGTAGTTTCTGAATTTTTGTTCTTACCCCAGTTAAATTTATTCACTGTTGTCTTTATAAATACCCAAGACTGGAGGAAACAAGGGAGACAAAACATTTTTTTCATCTTATTTGTATAGTATATCATTATACTAACATGATTCCCTAAGCTGACACTTCCTTTTCCATCCATATCTGTCACCTCCCTCAGGGTGCAGGTTCAGGCCTATCTTCCCTTCTACCACAACCCAAAAACCTGACAGTGAAGGAGACCGACAGACCCCTGATTCCACATGCGCTGACCAAACGTCAAGAACCCAAAGGACCCAAACCTGGAACACCCGCTCAGGGTCTTGGTTCTAGTGCGTCTCCCTCTGCTATCAAAGCTGCAGCAAAGTCAGCTGCCCTGCAGCTGGCCAGACAAATAGCCACTGACGACCAGGATAATGAAGAAGACATAACTCCACAGAACTACTTTTCCCTAGGTGAGAGCTCCCACCCCCTCCCTGCAGTTGTCCCAAGCTTAGATCCTGAGCCAGGAGCCCCAGCAGAGCCTCTTCCCTTCTCAGCTGCTGATGAGCCTGGTCAGTCAGATGCCCCTCTTGACTTTGGGGGGAACCATGAGGGAGCTGGTGCATGGGGAGGCCAATATTCTCAGTATCAGCAGCCCATGACAGGCCCAGAGGCATTCCCCCAGGTAACCATTATTTAAACAGTTGCTTATAAACACTTCTCTGAATGGCATTAGACTGGAGCACCTTCATGTGCATAAATGATACAACATAAATCTACTTGAAAGCTACAGACACATGTGCACAGCTAACTCTTTATGTAGTCAGGCCTTTATAATGTACACGTAGAACATCCTTATAATACCAAAGAGAACAATCGCTATGCACAGTATTTATTTGTCCTAAAGGCACAAATGTTGAACTATGGCAGTTATAGACACTGAAATAGTTGAGAATGCAATATTAATTTAAGTGACATCCCAAACATTTGTTGCTTGGACAGGGATACTATAATGAGCCATACTACGAGGATCCTGACCCTGGATTGGCAGAGGCTGAAGAGCCTGGTCACTCTGCCATGTTTGATGATGAAGCGGTGAGATGTTTGCTGCCTTTTTGCATAATTTTTTGTGTGTGTTGTCATACAACTCTAATTTTGGAGATGCGCTCTGGCATGTTATTTGTGCTTGTGTTTCAACAGTAGCTTCTGATTTTTTAAAAATTGTGAGTTGGGGTTGCAACACTGTGACTCAGTCAGGTTTTTTTCTTTTACTGCAGTTCATGCGGCTGCAGGGAAAAAGAAACAGAGGCAAAGAGGAGGTGAAGTTTCTGGAGATCAAAGGGGATGACCAGCTCAGTGGCAACCAGCAATGGATGACCAAGGGCATGACAGAAGAGAAGCAGACCCGCCAGTCCTTCAGCAAGGTGACCTGACTAGATCTCTATCCCGGTGGGGTGCTGGCTGCAAGTTTAGCCTGGGAGGTGCAGAACTGAGATGTGATGTTGCTCTCACATTTATGCTCTGTTTTTTCTGTACCTTTCTGCAGAAAAAAGGAGAACAACCTACAGGGCAACAGCGGCGCAAACATCAGATAACATATCTAATTCATCAGGTGAGTGTGGCTAAAACTCTGATTGTACCAAACGGTTGCACCGAAAATAGAATGAAAACAGGTGTAGCCAGCTGATCTTTATTTTCTGTAGGAAAAAAACTGGTTAAAATTATGAATAAATAAACTAAAATTAACATTTACTAATTTGAAATGCATTATTATCACAAACATGTTTTCTCTCATAGGCAAAGGAACGGGAGCTGGAGCTGAAGAACAGCTGGGCAGAAAACAAGCTAACCCGCCGGCAGACCCAGGCCAAATACGGCTTCTAAACATCATGCTGCGGACTCTCGGTGGCACATGGACACCCGGGATTTGAGAGTAGAATAGTATGCATAACTTAATAGAGATGTTCCCTCCATCCTGTATTTGTTTTGAATCATTAATATTCAGTAGTTCTTTTGGTCAGCTGTTTAACATGTTACTCCTACATCAAAACTCCATTCACAGCCGTTGAACTCTTCTGCAGCAGTAGTACATATACAGTAATTTGACTTATTTTTTTAAATTGCACTGTACCAACAAGTCAGTGTGTTTTAAGGTACTGTTGGCCCGTCACTGGCGGAGAGAACGTAATGTGACAGACGTGGACATTTCAGATGTTTTGCTTTGAATATGTATGCTCCCTGTTCATATGGTGAACACTGATGTGTGACTCCATTTTTTTGAAAAAGACAGACTGCAAAAATGTTTGGTTCTCTGGTAATCAAAAATATTAGTCATTCAAAAGCTGACATATAGATTGAATTATCAACTTTGTAATAAAAAATAAAGTTGTTGGAATTTGTTGTTGAATTTTCACTTTTCTGTTAAAACTCACAGCTGTGAAAGAGTAAGGACATACACTGCCAGAGAACCAAATGCATTTCATTTTCAGCTGGTTCTTTAGCAACAATCCAGCTAGAGAGCCATCTGATTTCTTTTTTCTACATTGAATTTTACCCCTGTGTTACCTGGCTGCAGCGTCCAGGTTAAGTACTTTAGTCAAAACCCCCTTTACATAATTCTGTTGATAAGACAATACATTTAGCCCCAAGACTCCCAAAATGTAGAAAGGATTCCTTTCAAGTTGATGTTAGCTGGTTGAGAGGAAATTGTAAAGATGTTTCTTTACGCTGCTCCAGTTTCAGGAAAAGTCTGTCGTCAAAGTGAACCCCATATGGCTGCCATTGTGCCAGAATGTTTTAAATAAGCTTTGGACTTGTTAGGGGAAATGCTATGAACTGTGCAGAGGTGAAACAGTATACTGCCATTCTATTCTCTCCAGCTCTGGAGAAGCTTGCACATTTCTTTCAGAATGAAGAAAAAGTGCATCTTGCTTCAAACTTTGCCATACTGCAAAAAAGGCCTTTTCTTGAGGTGTTGGCATCAGTTTTAAGTCTAACATGTATTTCTTCTTGTTTATTAAGAGAATAGGTAGATAACAGCCCATTAGGTTTCTGTTCAAGAGTAACAGTATGACCTCATGAGCCAGGTTTGCCTTTCCATGCAGTACTATATACATTTCATACATATTTCATGTTGGATTTCCATATGTAAACTATGGCAAAGTGGCAGCTTACTGTACCATCACATTCATCTGCCTCAAAGCTTAATGTTTGGCAGAACAACTTATTGTAAAACTAGTCCAGGAATACTGTCTGGTTCCAAACATTTACACATCTGCCCGTGACCTGACAGCCCAAAGCAAGAAGCTGATAGTATGAAAACATGATCGCATTATCTAAGAGACAGGAACAGAAATTATACTGTAGAAATTAACAGAACTTTTTCTTCTTCTTGCATGTTATCCTTGGCATCCATCAGAACGGTACAAACATTTGATTTGATTTATTCTTTCAAGCATGTAAAGACAGTTGATATGTCAACACACATAATTTTACACATATCCAACAAATGCTAATCCAATATCAATTTGCTTATACCTAGTACATGCTTGAATGGAGTAGGAAGAAGTCAGACTTATCCAGTCCTACCCCATGACATCATCTTACCATCATTGGTTTGCAAGCAGTGTCTCTACATAAATAATTCTCTTCTACACCACACAAGTAATATACTAAAAAATTATAACAGAGTGTTAACATTCTTACATAAATCCATTCTTAAAAAATGATCTTCTACACCACACAATATACTAAAGAATTATTACAAAGTGTTAACATTCATACACCACACCCACAATGTTCCATCTAATTAATCATTAAACCTGTTCTTGCATAGATCTTGATTAACACATACCTTTATATTTATGTTTAAACTCATCAATTCTAGTACTATTTTTTATGTCTACACTTAAATTATTCCATAGTTTTACCCCACTTATAGAAATACAAAATCTTTTTT